AAAGATACCCCCTGCCCCCGGGGGCCTGTGGCCTCCATGTTTGCCCTCTCTGACAAGCAGGGGCTGAGCAGCTGTGGGGAAGTATGGCTGACATATTGATTGACTGTCTTGTCAGGCCACATGTACCCTAATTACTATTTCACACAGCCACTGTCCAAGGCTGGCTCTCCCTGTCCTTGTGGTCGCTGGTGATTCTCTGTGACCTGGAACCAATTCCCATGCATTTTTTCTCCCTTGGCTCACTCCAAATATTTCTTTTGGGGTTCATCTGGCACCTACATACAGAAACTTCCATAAGAAATCATCAGACTAACTCCAGGTAGGTCTGCTTCTGGTTCTCACTGAAACCTGGGATCTGTGTGTGGTCTTTCCATCCATCCGCCTCCGTTGGCTTTCAACTCTATGAAAGTTTTCTCCAATTAGCCAGACGGATGCTTCCAGAGTTTGGCTTCCTGCTGTGTTTTCTGTGGATGACTTCCCAGTGGCCACCTGGCTTCCGTGAGCTTCCACTTGGAGCCCTTCCCCAGCCATGCCTGCTGATCCATGGAGACCTGTTGTTCCATCCGGGGTCTCTCTAGAGTGAGCCTGTCAAATCGTGACTGCGCTTACATTTCGGCTGTCAGTGGTGGGGGAGTATTGTGAGGGAGAGGGTCTCCCAAATTCATTTCACTTCTGACCCTAACATGGTCTGAACCAGACCTTGGGGATGAGCTGCTGGAGTTTTCAAGGGGGAGCAGAGAAGGGACAACCCCAGTCGTTTACTGGAGCTCTCATCCAGTAAAATGAACGCTGACCATCAGTTATGGGAAAGCTGGAAATGAAGGCTCAATAATTGTGGCCAGGCAGGCTGTTAGCGGCCACAGTGCAGACTGTGATCAGAGACTTCCAAATTCTTTGGGGAAAGAATCCACAGCAGGACATGTGGGTGTAAATGGAGTTTATTAAAAGTTAGGGAGGGGACTACAAAAGGAAGCATGGTGGGTGCAGGTGGAATCTTGAAGCAGAGAGAGTGTGCTTCTTTCCTCCAGGCACTTTTAAAACTTATGCTGACCTATGGGAAGGGAGGAACCAGGTGATTTCCAACCAATAATCAATGAGTGGCGCAGAGCATTGGGCAGTCCTCACTGCCAGGTGAGGACGGTCTGAGCCCTCCCTGAGCCAGGATGTAGACAACCTACACACACATGTGCAAGTGAAGTCTCAGAGAAAGAGAAGGTTCAATGTGAAATACAATATTAAGTCATGTATTTTCTATAAGTAGCAGGCTTCTAGGCTTTCCGGTCAGACTCAGAGTGCATCAGAGCTGGAGGTATTTTGACACAATGTTCAATGAGCTACTTTTTGTCATTCCTGGAAACAAATGTAGTGGACCTAAGTGTGTGCTAATTCTTCCTGCCTGGATTTCAGAAAGGACTGTGATCCAGGAAAATGGAAAGAATCCACAGATCTGTGGTTTAAAAAATGGCATTCTGTTTTCTTTCTGAGTGTGCATATTCGTCAAGGTAGACTCAGACCAGCTGCTATAACAAAGAGCCCCAAACTCTAACAGGGCTCACAAGCTCAACAATTCACTCAGAACTCTATCACTGCCAGCCATGGCTCTGACCTGTCATCTTCAGTCAGGACCTAGGTGATGTGTGCTTCCAGGTCACGTGGGCACATCTGAACTCCACAGTGAGAAATGAGCCCACACACACACACTCAGCAAGGAATGCTGTATATGATGAATAGTCATGCATCAACCCTACAGGGTCTGTCACCAGTTTTAAGACAGACCAACCTTGCTGAGATGACATTTACCTGTAGACATTGTAACCAGTTTGCCATGAAACATTAAGTCCATGACCACTGTACTTCTATGGGGATGCTCAAATCTTCTGTCACCCAGCTTGGCAGCCAACGGTTGTCTCAGTTGAGGAGTAGGGCAGCACCTCCCTGAGTTTCTTTTATTTCTTTTGGCAGTACTGAGGTTTGAACTCAGGGCCTCATGCTCGCTAGGCAGCTTCCTGTGTAGCTGGGATGACAGGCACACACTGCCATACCAAGCTCATTGACTGAAATGGGATCTTGCTAATTTTTTTGCCAGGGCTTTCCTTAAACTTCAAAACTCCCCATTTCTACCTCTCACGTAGCTGGGATTACAGGTGTGAGCCACTGTGCCCAATTTACCTGGGATTCACATAAAACTGGTAGAATGTCTACTATATGCCTAGACATAGAAAGGGCTCTGTGATTGACAGCAGGTGTTTGGTATACTGATAAACTTAATATCCTTCTCTTTGCAAGCCAGTCTGTGCTGCTACCAGTGCTATTTTATCCCATCCTCCCCAACTCTGCTCTTAGATTGTTGTTTTTACTTAGAAGCACATAATGTTCTACAAGCCAGGCGTCCACGTCTACCCTCCCGTACTGTACTGCAGCTGTTCAGGGGGCTGCAGGTGCACGCCTCTCTCCGGCCCTGATGGGTCATTACCCCACCTGTGAAGGGAGCGATCGATGGGAAGACTGGTTTCTCAGCCCAAACCATAGAACAGATCAGTAGCAGAATGAGAAACAGGGTTGTCACTAGTCAGGAAACTCAATTGCTTCAGTGCTCCCCTGGGCCTTCATCCCAAGGACACTTAGTCCATCCCCACAGGCCAGAAAAGGAGGCTCATTTTCTTACTCACATGAGAGGCAAGGAATGGCTGATCAAGGGGGAAAAAAGTGCCAACAAAAGCCTATTTCAGACACCCCCAGAAAACAAGAGGTGTCGGCTGTGCCCGACAGAATTCTCACTTATTTACGTCACATTCGGTGCAGGCACAGGCAATCTGCCCAAACTTGAGTCTCATTTTTGCTGCATCGCTTCTCCGTGGAGGCCAGGTCTCACTGGGCGGATTCAGTTCCCCCTTTCCCCATCAGCTTCTCCCTTTCTCATTTTTCTTTTCGCTTCTGGAAGTTGTCTGAGAGGATTCCTGAGTGCTCTGACCCTGACCTTTCCACCCCCTCCACAGCTGTCTTATTTTCAGAATACTTTAAAAAAAATAAATAAAGAGATACTATGAAATCCAAAACAAAAGGGGGAAGACATGCCTGAAAACAGGAAGAACACAGTGTCACAAGCAAGCCCTTCACATTCTGTAAGGTTAGGGTCTTGTCGTCTGTCCTCCCCAAGCTAAGGAGTGACAAGCATGCACTCTGCATGGATCACAGTTTGAGCGAGAGGTTTCCCACGGCTGGGGCCCAGGGGATGCTGTCATCCTCGCCTGGTGGGACTCATGCTTCCTGCTATAGACGTGAACATCAAAGCTCTGTGAGTTTGGGGTCCCAGCCACCCCCGAGATGCCTGCCAGCCACCGTTTAACACACTGGGACATTCCGCCGAAAACCCGCATCTTTGCACCAGCAGCAGCTGGCTCCAGGCAAGCCTGATAACACAGTCGTATCACTTTTTGAAAAATCGTGTTAAAATAGCTAATTCCTTGGCTCCCTTCACCTGGTAATTACAAATCAGAAGCTATTGTTATCTTGAAGCACCACGATTAGTTCTCGTCTCCTGACCTCTGTACGGTGAAAATATGTCATTACTTGAGGCACTAAAACCTGGTCTCTTCAAGTAAGTGACCTACATAGAACTGATAAACTGCAAGAGAAAATTAGGTGTTCCCTTGACGGAAACTACAGTCGATGTCACTTATTAGTATTTATCATTGAAAAGTCACAACAGTGACTTTTCAGAGGAACAGATGGAAAGAAAAACGTGCTTCTGAGATGGGCAAGTGTGTAAGAGAAAGGCAGACACGCACGCTCGTGTACACGCACACACACACTCATACCTCACCACCTTGTCCTGCTGTCACCCACCTGAGCAGTGCTGTTCAAAGATAGGTTTTAACCTTAGTACAAGGCAGCCCCTGGTCTTGAGCCGTGGCAGGTAGACATGCAGAATTAATTGCTTTGTGAACAGTCTCCTATGCATTGGTCATTGTGTTTCCTGTGGTTAATTCCATCTCCCATCCCCACTCACGGCGTTCCCCGGCAGCACCCCTAGCTCTCCCAAGGTGCTGCAGACACAGCTACACTGTCAACCTGTGACCATGACACACCAGACAGACACCATGACACGCCCGCAGACTAGGCCATTACTGTTTGCTGGCTGAGGAAATCTGACTTATACACAGATGAAGCAGTTTCAGCTGGGGGCTTTGAGAGAATGAGGGTTAGTCTTTTGTCCCACTCGGTAACAGCTCACTGGGGACCCCAGGGACAGGTTGGACAGGGTGAGCTAGGTAACTGGGAGTCATGTGAGGAGCACAAGGAAGTAGGAATTTCTCCAAATACAAATGCTTCCTGGGCAAAGTAGAGACAGTGCTTCTGTGCTCCTTGCCGCCTTCAGCACTCTGGGAACAAAGGAGTGGAATGGTACTATTTGTCAGGAAAGGTCTCCATTCCGCCATCATGGTCCCCGAAGCTCTGGAAGGAATCCACTTATGAAGAGAAGTGGAGAGAAAAACCACTTCCAAAGTTTGACACAGTTAAGGAAGTCCCTTCTGGCTGCCATTCAGAGTAGGGCTAACCTAACCAGTGGGCAGGCACTTCGGAGGGGTTTTTTGGAGTTGATTTGCATTTCCAGCAGTTTAGGGGATGCTGTCCTTTCCAGTGCCCCTGGGCTGCCAGTAAACAGCACCTGAATTGTAAGGAATAGGAGGGAGGTTGGGATAAGCAATCCCTCCACCGTAACTCTCCAAGGGGCACTTTCCCCACTGCATTTGCAAGCTGGAACTCCCACCTGGAGCGATCCTGCCCCTGAGGCCCTAGCAGCAGCAGAAAGGAGACCTAAACAGCCAGGCTGCTGTGCTTTTGGTATTTAGCTAATCCCTGTGGCCTGGGGCAAGCCATTTTTGAATTGGAGCTTCCTTAAAAGGCAATCACTTGGAAAAAGGCACCTGGCCGTGCCCCTTGACATTTGCACTGCTGAATTATCTATTCATATTTTCATTACTTTGTCTCTCCCGCAGCAATGCATTTGCTCGGACTCAATTGGCAACTCCAGCCTGCAGATGGACACACCTTTAACAATGGGATAAGGACCGGCCTGCCAGGAAGCGATGATGTGGCAACAGTGCCCTCTGGAGGCAAAGGTGAGGCTACAGCTGCTGCTTGCCCTCTGGAGCTCACAGGAAAGACTAGGCTCTCGCCAGCTGGGTCAGGTTTTTAATCCAAATCTTGGAAGCTATGCAAGAAGGAAAAGAAAGGGGAAGGAAAAAAAATCGTTGCCATTCTTAGGTGTCCCCGTTAAAAAGCTGTTTGCTGTTCCTGTCTGTTAGCTGCGCTTGGCTGGAGTTGCTGGGAGCTGGAGGGCTGCCTGCTCTAAGCACTGGGCATACCCATGCTGTCTACCCAGCTGGCACGATCTAGAATCCTTGAAAGCATCCCAAGGCCCAGGCAGCAGCAGCAGCAGCAGCAGGACAAAGTCCTACGTCATCACAAGGCAGGGCTTGTCACCAGCCCCCGTCCCTCTCCCACCAGGAGAGGCAGAGCCTCCCCGCTGAGCAAGCGCCTGGCTTGGCTGCTGGGCTGTTCTTCTTTGGGGGAGAATTGAAAAGAGTTTTGACAACTCTGGCAACAAAGCCTCTCTTCTCAAAACCCAGACGGGAACAATAGAAACGTTCACTGAAGCAATCAAGTGACTGTATTCTCGCAGAGGGAAGAAAGAGGTGCTAACGAGGTGCTAAGAAAGAGGAGAGAAAACAGAACCTGGGGAGGTGGGGGCAGGGAGCAACTCACAGACAACAGCCACCAGGGGCACAGTTATAAAGCTGGGTCCGCACCACCTGGCCTAGTGCGGGTTTGCTTGATTCACAACGGAGATGACAAATGGAGCGATTGATAAAAGGGCTCCTCCAAACACAAATCTGCCTCTTGGTGGTACTGGGGTTTGAACTCGGGACCTTGTGTTTGCTAGGCAGGTGCTCTATCTCTTGAGCCACACCCCAGCCCTCACTCCATCCCATTTTTGCTATAGTCTTTTTTCAGACAGGGCATTGCGTTTATGCCTGAGCTGACTGGACCACAGTTCTGTGTTTATGCGTCTTGGGTAACTGGGATGACAAGAGGGCCACCACATCAAGCTTTTATTGGTTGAGATGCGGGGAGGGTCTCATGAACTTTTGCCTGGGCTGGCCTTGAACCATGATCCTCCAGCTCTTTGCCTCTCAAGTACCTAGAATTACAGGCGTGAGCCACCATGTCTGGCTTCCACTCCACTCAGCCTCTGCATGTATGTATATGTGACCAGTTCATACTCCCCTCTCTTCCCCATTTTTAAAAATATCCCGCAGGAAAATTTCAAAAAAGGAAGGAACCTTTATTAGGTTCCTATTGTACTCCAGACTTAGTATTGTGTAACTCCACCAGCTCTAAAGGGCAGAGAATCATCTGTGAGAAACTGAGGCTCAGATCAATTGTTCTGGAAACTTACCCCAAAGCAAACAAGATCTGTGCCCTGGGCATCCGTGGGCAGGATATTGGTGTTTTTCCTTGGGCCAGTCGTTTTCCACAAAAGATTCCAGAACCCCTCTGCCGTCAGAGGTGTGCACTGGTTGCTCTCAGATGCTGGTGCTCCTTAAGTCATTCTCCCCAGAGCTGTTCTAAGCTTCAAGTACGACTCTTTCGTCTTTTTATCCAGTCTTGAAGAATCACTGTACCCATCTGTCATAATGATAACATTAAATTACCTTTAAGTAAGCATGAAGGCGCTTCATCTCAGGCTGACGTACTCTCTGTGCATTATGGAGTAAGTCAGACTAGACCTCGCTCGAGATGAAGTAGGCTTTTCTTTAACTGACCACTAAGGCCCAGGGCCAAGGTTATTGGCCTCTGAGGTGGACGTTGTCGTTCATGTCCAGTACGGTGACACCTTGTGGTCCTTTGCTTTTCTTTGCAGCAATGGCTCTAGTCTGGGGCATTTGTGCCCTTCATGGGACATTGGGCAATGGCTGACGTGTGTCATCTGTGTGTGTGCCTGTGTGTGTGTGTGTGTGTGTGTGTGGCACTGGGGATTGAACTTCAGGGCTTTGCACTTGCTTGTCGGGCACTCTACCACTTGAGCCATGCCCCCAGCCCTTTTTGCTATGGTTATTTGGGGGTGTGGGGACAGCCTGGACTGTGATCCCTCCTATTTCTGCTTCACATATAGGTGGGATGACAGGTGAGTGACACTGCACCTAGCCAATGGTTGAGATGGAGTCTTGCAAACTTTATACCCTCCTGATTTCCTCCTCCCAAGTAGCTGGGATTATAGGCTTGAGCCACCGCACCTGGCTGGCAGAAGAATTTTTGGCTGTCACAGTTAGAGGAGGTGTTTGCTGTGAGTAGATGTCGGGGATGCTGTTACACCCGCTGCAATGCACAGGCGGCCTCCATGAGGAAGATGCACCTCTGTTGGGGGTGTCAGTGGTGCACTCTCGAGAAGCCTGTGCTGTGCAGTCTCTGCTGTGTTTTGTCCATTGGTGTCCCTTAATCCGCAGGTCAGCATCGATCCTTCCAGAAGAGTGAAGTGAGGGACACACCTTCAGGCCCGGGGAGGGACTGGATGGGGCATCTGTTCTGAAGTTACGTCCAGAGGCTTTTCCCTGATGTCCTTCACAAGTGGGAAGCACTGATCTGCACCCGCCTCCATCAATTAAAATAGCCACCTTTCCCTTTCTGATTAGGCTGCACTTCCAAGCCACACCCCCTTTAACTCCCCACCCCCGCATGGTGGCAAACAGAAGAAAACTCCCCCCAAAACAAGCCTCCCCCCAAAACAAGCCAAACAAGGCATCTGTGGGAAGGCTGAATTTTTCCCCTTGTGGACAACATGACTTTAAAAATACTGCGTAAGTTGTGTAATACCACCAGTTCAGATATTTCCAAGTGAGTCATAAGGCAGACAAGGTATTTGCCCAGTCATTGTCCAATGGAGTTTGTCAATCGTGTACTTACTTAAAAAAAAAAAAAAAGTGCGAGAATTTAAAATTGCTTAAAGATGAAATAGAACTCAAAGCACTGTTTCTGAATGCCGGAATGGTACTTTCCTGATGACTGGGAGTCTAGGATCCCTTCTCCCATTGTTTTAAAGATCGTCTTATGAAAGGACTAGAAAGGTTAAAGTCCCCATGCACACCCCACTTTTAGGAAAGGTGACTTGAGACTCAAATTGCTCAACCCAGTGACCTCCCCACTCCCCGCTTCCCCAATCCTATACATTTAGATAACCCGAATCAATTCCAATCGACCACTGCTCCAGTGTTTCAAAGAGACAATCAAGACACATTGGCAATAAGTTAATTAAATAACACCCCCTCCATTTTTTTGTGGTATACAATAATCCTTCATTCCAGTGTTTTAATCAAGATTCGGCACACATTGCCAGGGAGATTAATCTTATTAAGCAATTACTGAGTAAGTATCCAGCAGGAGCAAATTAAAATGTAAGCAAAACACGAGTGTGTGAGTACCATCCAAGATGGCATGTCGATAGCGACTCCATTTCCTGGTCTTTAGGAGTATTTACATTGCAGGTTGGGGAAGGCGTCCAACAGACAGGGGAGTCTCCACGCTGATTTGTTAGTGGAAACGAAGCAGTTGATTAATTAGTTAAGAGTGTGTTCTGTGGGCTTTGTCTTCCTTTTCCTTTGTCATTTGTTGATGCTCATGGTTTGCTTGTGGATGATTGTGGGGTTTCAGATCAAGAAGAAGGAGAGCACGGACTGCCAGAATCTCTCAGTGTCTCCTGTGTATTTCTGTGTTCCAAGGAATGAACTCATACGTCTTCATTAGGAGGACATGGATGGAGCACTTTTTCTATAGATCTGGGATTAGATCAGCCTGGAGAACAAAGATCCAGTACAGTATTCTGACCTGCTCAGATAGCATAAGGGATCCAGCTTGATTGGCTGGGCCCAGCAGCAAGGTTGACCGGAATTTTGAAAGGTCACATCATAGACGACCAGTTTGTGCACCAATTTTAAAAAAAGAATAAACTCCCAAGGAGAATTTCACGGGTTTATTCTCAAAACCTGTCAAGTGTCCTCTAGATTGGGGGTGAGCAGATTTGGTCACCAGATCTGGCCAGCCCCGTGTCATCATGGCAGCGGTCCCATTGGAGCAGCCACGCCCCCCCAAACCCCCACCCCGCGGAGGAGCTAAGTGGGTGAACAGAGACTCCAGGGTCCACGGATCCTCCAAAGCATATTTACTCTCTGGCCTTTTAGAAAGTTAGCACACTTGAATCATGTACAAATTCACGTACTTTTCTAGAACTTTTCCTAGATTCGAATAAGAGTCCAGAGAGAGTATACCGACTTCCTTTCAGAGCAAGTTCTGGTTAGGATACATCCTTCATGACTTTGCACTGAAAGACCCTCTCAAAATGTAGGACAAGGGGCAGGCCTGGCTGGATGTGAACACCAGCTCTGTCCTTGGGTGACTGTGTGACACTATGTAGGTAATTTATTCTCCCTCAGCCTCCACTTCCTCCTCTGTGCAATAGCTCATAAACTTGCCACTCTGCTCGAGTGAGATAACGCCTGTGAAACACCTCGTGTGGCACCAAGCACCTGGTAAGCAAACCATGAATCTCTGTCGCTGCCACCGACGTAACTGTTGGTTCTCTCGATTGGTCCATTTAACGAGTCTGTGAGCGTTTTCCAAAATGAAAGTGGGCCTTGGGAGTGTGACGACAGACAGTGACACCACTTCATCGTCTTTCCTTTACCTTCTGAGAATTCACACAAATCCCAGATGAGGGTTTTGTCCCCATTTGGAAGGGCCAATGTGTAGGACAAGCTGGCAGGTTCCCTGCAGCATCATTCGTCTTGCTGCAGCTCGGGCTCCATCATGACCAGCCTGTCTGTTTTAAGCCCGACCATTCTCGGTTTATAACTCAGCTGTAAACATTTATTTGTGCCTGAAGCACATTTCTTTCCTACCCTTTGAAAAAAAAAAAAATCAGAATTTCCAGATGGTATACAAGTTGGGAAAAATGGCAAAGACTGTTATTCTGTTTTGAGACGTTTTTCTACACTCGCCCTTTCAGCAAAAAACTTCATAATGATTTTTACTAGTTGGCTTAATGCATGGTACTTTGAGCCAGATT